AAACAAAGCTAAACATAGTTATGCCATATGATCCATCACACATGCTTCTTCATATTTACCCAACTGATTTGAAAACTTATGTCCACATAAAAACCTGCACATGAATGATTACAGCAACTTTACTCATCATCACCCAAAACCAGAACCAGGATATCCTTCAATAAGCACATGAATAAACAAACTGTGGTCATTTGTACAATGTAATATTATTCAGGGATAAAAGAAATGAGCTATCGAACTGCAAAAGACATGGTGATTCTTAAAGGCTAAGTGAAATAAGCCAATCTGGAAAGGCTATAACTACATTATTCCAATTATATTATCTGAAAAAGGCAAAACTATGGAGATGATGAGATTAGTGGTTGCCAAAATTTTGGTCAGAAGGAGAGAAAGTGAAACACAGACTTGTTAAGGTGGTGAAAATTTGTTTGACACAATCTCAGTGAATTCATTACACTATATATTTGTCAAAACCCATAGAACTTCACAACCTAAAGAGTAAACCTTAGTTGAGTTTCAAAATGGTGGAATACAGTAGGATCAAGAAAGCAGATAGGCAACTTCTCAGTAAGGTGGGTGAATTAAAAAGGGAACAGGGATGCTTTACTGGAATTTAATACTGGACAATCAAGCAGATTGAGGAATCAAGAGGTTGGATTTAATAAAATAAGGAAGAAATCTCCAGCACACAGCCACTGCTGCAGCTATAGGCACCACCCAGAGTGGTCCCTCTGCAAGCAGAGGGATAAGAAAATTAAAGGAACCCATATTTTTAGGAGGCCTGAGGTGTGTCTAGGTATGGAGAGTTTAGAGATCAAAGACACTGCCTGAATAAACTGAAAGGCATGCTGCACAATATCCTTTATGGGAAAGAAATTACATCTCTCCTGTCAGCATGTAGAGGACAGAGGAAGGAACCATTTTGCAGCCACAATGTGGGGGCCAGCAGCTGATGGAGCCAATTCCTGGCAAACCTGAAATTGGCTTGAAATACAGGCCTGAAAAACCCACATTGCAAGACAAAGAGTATGCCTAACTGACCAGGAGAAAATCAAACATAAAGAGAGGTTAACAAGGAGACAACTGGTCAGGGAAACCCACCCAGCTCTCCCTTTCCCTCTCTAATCCACCTGGTCACAGGACCGGCTGGAAGAGCTGCTACTAGCTGGGGTTTTGAAAGGGCAGAGGTGGGATAGATTGAGTTTGGAGACTGAACCTGAGATCAAGAAATATGGGGTCCGCAGGTGATGGAGTGGACTAAGAATTGGCTCCTCCACCAGACAAGTGGAACCCAGGGTAGATCCCTGGACTGCAGTCTTCCAGCATGGACCAGCAATTGCTGGGCCCTGGAGGAGTGCTGATTTAAAATATCCTAACCAGGGCTGGGGTTATAGCTCAGTTGGTAGAGTGCTGCTTATTTTGCATGCATAAAGCCCTGGGTTCAACCCCCAGCACTGTCAAAAAGAAAAAAGTCTTCAAACTAGTTGGCATTCAGCTGGAGCCTGGAGCCGACTTAAGCCTAAACCCTGTCTCCAGAGTTCCTCCTATGGGTTACCTCTAGCAACCCCACGCTGGGGGAGGAGCAAGCATCATACCCTAGAAGAACCCATCTAACAGTGCTTTAAGAAGGGAAACTGAATCTTTTGAACTCCAATGGAAATAATTATCTTATTCTTTTTTTTTCTTTTTCCTTTTCTCTGTTTAATTGTAACCTTAATGGTTCATGGATATTTATACATATTCATGTCTGTTTGTTTTCTTTTTTTCTTATTTCTAGCATTTTTGAAACCAATTATTTTTCATGGATCAGTTTTTTGAGGACTAGGATGTTTGATTAGTATATTTCAGTTTTGTTTTTATTCTTTTTTTAAATTTTTAAAATTTTTCCTTTATATAAAGTAAAATTTTTTTTCTCTCACTTATCTGTTTCCCTTGATTCTCCTCTCTTTTCTTCTGCTAAAACAGCCTATCTCTATTGTTCTTTCACTCTTCCTTTAATTTTTTACTCTACCTTCTTTCCTCCTCCCTCATAATCATCACACCCTTCATCACTTCTGTTCACTCCATGCCCACCATTCAAAATAGTAAACCCTTTTTCAAATTTACTGTTTTTATTGTTGGCAATAACCCGTCATATCATTTCTGTTTATTTTGACATCATAAACATCATTGGTTTAACACTGTATATTGTTTGCATTGGCAGCTGTTATTATTTTTCTCTCCATAAATGCTGAGGTAAATAGAAACCTTAGGGACACTATAAGTTCACAGGGTAGAATCTCCACTGCCTCAGATCTATAGTGTTAGATAGATAGACACACAAACAACATGGAAAAGCAAGGGAACAATCACCCCTACCAAATCAAGATACTTCAATAATAGAATCCATTGACACCATTTCTTTCTCTGAAGAAATGTCAGAGAAGGAGTTTAGAATATACATAGTCAAACTTATTTGTGAGATAAAGGATGATGTAAGGAGGAAAATCAGAGAGAAAAATATAGGAAGTGAAAGATCACTACAATAAAAAGAGAGAGATTCTGAAAAAAAATCAAGCAAAAATTCTCAAAATGAAGGAATCAATAAACCAAATTATAAATTCAATGGAAAGCATCACCAATAGACTAGACCACTTGGAAACCAGAGTTTCAGGCAATGGGGACAAAATATATAATCTTGAAAATAAAGTTGGCATGGAGAAAAGATGTTAAGAGACTATGAACACCAGCTGGGCATGGTGGCATCCACCTGTAATCCCAGCTGCTTGCAAGGCTGAGATAGGAGGATCATGAGTTCAAAGCTAGCTTCAGCAAAAAATGAGGTGCTAAGCTACTCAGTGAGACCCTGTCTCTAAATAAAATACAAAATAGGGCTGGGGATGTGGCTCAGTGGTTGAGTGCCCTTGAGAGTTCAATCCAAAGTAACAAAAAAAAAAAAAGAGAAAGAGAGAGACTATGAACAGAACTTCCAAGAAATGCAGGATGTCATGAAAAGGCCTAATTTAAGATTTATCAGGATAGATGAAGGTGCAGACATGCAAAACAATGGAATGCACAATCTTTTCAATGAAATAATATGAGAAAATGTCCCAAACCTTAAGAATAAAATGGAAAATCAATTACAAGAAAGCTTACAAAATCCCAAGTACACAAAATTACAACAGACCCACACCAAAGCATTTTATTATTAAAATGCTTAAAATACAGAACAAGGATAGAACTTTAAAGGCCACCAGAGAAAATAGACAGATCGCATTTAGAGGGAAACCAATCTGATCTCTCATGATTTCTCAACCCAAACCCTAAAAGCTAAGTCTTAAATAATATATACAAAGCTCTGAAAGAAAATGAATGCCAGCCAAGATTACTATACCCACAAAATTAAGTTACGGAATTAATGATAAAATAAAAACCTTCCATGATAAACAAAATTTAAAAGAATTCACATCTAGAAAGCCTTACTACAGTATATTTATAATTAAATATTTCATGAAGAAGTAATGAAAAATAAAACTGAAAACAAACAAGGGAAGAACGACACTAGAAGAATAATCAGTCAATGGAGAAACTAATTCAAATTAAAATAAATCAAAATTACAGGGAATGAAAACCATTTCTCAATAATATTGAATGTTAATGACCTAAACTCTTCAATCAAAAGACAAGACCCAACAATATGCTGTCTCCAAGAGACTCACTTCATAGGCAAAGAAGGTAAAAGGATAGGGAAAAAACATATCATTCATATGGATCACATAAACAAGCAAGGGTTTTTATCCTCATATCAACTAAAGTGGACTTTAAGCCAAAGTTAATTAGCAGGAACAAAGAAGATCATTTCATACTGCTTAAGGGAATTATATATCAACAAGACATAACAATCATAAATAGTTATGTTCCCCAAAATGGAGCATTTGTGTATATCAAACAAACCCATCTCAATTTTAAGAATCAAATAGACCACAACACAATAATACTGGGTGACTTTAACTCACCTCTCTCACTACTCAATAGATCCTCCAAGCAAAAAGTAAATAAAAAAGCTATAGAACTAAAAAATACAATTAATAATTTAGACTTAACAGATACATATAGACTATTTCATCCATCAGTGACTGAATACACTTTCTTTTCAGCGACACACACATCATTCTCTAAAATAGATCATATATTGGGCCACAAAACAACTCAACAAATACAAACAAGTAGAGATAATGCCTTGCATTCTATCAGATCATAATGGAATAAAATTAGAAATCAACAATAAAATAAAAAATAGAAGCTACATTAACACCTGGAGACTAAATAATACACTATTGAATGATCAATGGAAAGCAGAAGAAATCAGGGATAGAATTAACAAATACTTAGAGGTAAATGAAAATAGCAATATAACATATGAAAATTTCTGGGATATTATAAAGGCAGTTCCAAGAGGAAAGTTCATTTCATTGAGCTCATACATTAAAAGAATAGAAAGTTGGGCTGGGGATGTGGCTCAAATAGTAGTGTGCTCACCTGGCATGCACAAGGCACTGGGTTTGATCCTCAGCACCACATAAAAAAATAAAAGATATTGTGTCAACAAATAAATAATCTAACATTACATCTCAAAGCCATAGAAAGAGAAGAAGAAATCAGCATCTAAACTAGCAGGAAAAGAAAAGAGAATTCATTATTGCTGAACATAAATATCTAGTCTAGTTTCTTATAAATGAATCAAATATCAATGGTGACATAATGATGATATTTTCAGAAAAATTATTTCATATATTTCAAGAGGCTATTAAAATATTGAATGTGAATAAGTGCCTTGTAAAAGTTTGATTAAAATATTTAAATTATTTTTAATATACCACCTAAAAAGTTACAAATAAAAATCATCTAAAATATGTTTACTGACAAAATTTTGAGCACAAGTAAGCCGAATTTGTATATTGACAGACTCCCAGAAAATTTATAGAAATCATATGTTGGATTGGATATTTTTTCTTTCAAAGATTGGAACAGATGGCTGTGGAAAACAAACTTGTGCAACCTTAGCCTGTTATGTGGCAGAACACAAACTATACCGAGTGCCTGTATCTCGCAATTACGCCTACACAGAATTCAAAGAAGTCCTTAAAAAGGTGTTTCTTCAAACAGGGTTAGAAGGGAATGCCACTGTTCTGATGGTTTCTAACTTATCCCTAGAACATGTAAGTGTTTTCTGTCTTTATTATTTGTTAAAGTTTGATATTTATGTACCCCCAAGTAATTTGATATTTAAAAAGAAAATACTTATACATAGTCCAATTAGCCTACTATATTAATTCTTTTCATTATTCTTTGCCCTTGCCTAATCATAGCCCACAGAGTTCATGTATTTGTAATCATGCCATAGTTTTGAATAATTGTAGTCTGCTGAAAGGAGTGGGAACTTTTGTTCGAAAACTTATTTTTATTCTCAAAAGCAAAATGTTTCCTACTTTCATAATAATTCTTCAGGTAGAGTTTCTTTCCCTGCTTTTTCTCTTCTCTTTCCTATCTCATTGGATTTGAAACCCTAATAGAGAGATGAACTTGGTTAAGTGAAAACAATCCCTCTGCCATGTTATTTCTAGTTTGTCTACTATTCAAACTCAAATGTAGATGTATTCAGGGTTTCTGTGAATTGCTTGAAGCAAGATTCCTGCTCAGTTCATTACTATACCCATCCTCCCTTACCTCTTGCTTCAGTACTTAATGCAGATATGTGACATACTGTCAATACCAAGTATATATTTCTCTAATATCTGAATGAATGGATGGATCAATGAAGCTTATTTTGACTCAGAAAAAAAATGTATATTTGATGGAATTGAATCAAGAAGTTAGCTTGCTTTTAAAAAAAAGAAAAGCCTCAGTTCCCCTTAAATACTATTATTTTCTGAGTTTGTTAGGAGCAGAATATATGAATAATTTACTCATTCCTGACTAAATATATGTTTCACCTAAGAAATTACTTTTGGAAGATTTGAGCTACACTGTCAGTTCAGGAAAAATACCTAACTTGTTTGAAAATGAAGAGCTGGATTCTGTCGCAATGAGGATTCGATCTTTGGCTGAACAATCTGGCTATGTGGATGACAGACAATCTTTACTTGCATTCTTCCAAAAGGTATTTTTTGTGGATTAACTTTATCAAATTGTCATGTTAAATTAAAACCAGACCACATTTATAATTATGTATAAGATTTTCAAGTTAAATATGAGTTTTTAAAGCTAAAATAATGATCACTATCCCTAAACACAGACACTCCATATCTTAGATATGTCAAAGATTAACGACTATTTGAGCCTGTCTGGTTATCAACAGTTTAAAAAAAAAATAGTAATGCTGTATGCAATACAATTTTTTGTTAAAAGAACCCAAGATTATTTTTCAGATTCTTTCCCAGTTAATGAGGTTTCTTTTCAACTATGTTGGAAACAAATCAGGAAGAGTGTAAAATAAGAATTTTTCTCATTCCTTTGAGTAGCCCTAGAATTGACCAGAAGACGATGGATACGAAAGAAATTGGCCAAAGAGAACAAGCAATATTCATAATGAACTGAGCAGCGGGAGTCTGTGAAAGACCAGTCTGATGATATACACAGACTAGACCAATGACTTGGACATTCTGTGTTTTTCCACACAATGGGTAACCGTGGCTTACTAAATGGGTGGCCATGATTATTCAAGCCACAATGTTCACTGGGGATGGACCACTGGTTAACTTATATCTAGTGCCAGGTTTTTCTACCTTGGGGTCATTTGAAATTTGAACCTGGTCTCCCACCATTCCTCAAAACACCCTTAGTATCTACTGCAAGAGGATATTATAATAAAACAAAATCCAGAAATAGAATCCACAGTTGATAGGGAACGTGTGCAATATGAATGAATACTCAGATTGAGTTATATTTTCAGATGCCATGGTAGAAAAAACAAATGTCATCCTGATAATTTGTGGTACTCTAGTGCCTTATTATAGTAATTAGTTTATTAAATAGATTGTGAGTGGGAAGGAATAACAAATTCTGATTTGGAATATGGAGAATAGTACACTCCAGAAATGAAAAACCAAGAGCCCCAGTTAGAAGTCAATTTTAATTATATATATATATGTATATATATATACATATATATATGTATATGTAAAATAAATGCTTTCAAAAAGTATTTGCTGCATCTTATAATAAAAATAAAATAATAAAGGTACACTTTAAACTATTAACTTTGGATACTTTCAGGTAGCAGTTTGGGGAAGGGTCAAAAAAAGAGAAGTACTTTCATTTTTACTTTAAACATTTCTGTATTGTATGAAATTTGCATTAAAAAATTTTATTTGCCTTTATAAATTTTTTCAGTCAAGAAGGAGGGGAAAAAAGAAATATCTTACCCTTTAGTCTTTTTTCAACTTTACCATACTTATAAAGCAAAATGTGTTGCTTGATAGTTGAAGATATTATCATTTTGTACAAGGTGGACTCGGAGTTAAAAGGAACAATGATTCACTGAGGCTGCTTTCAGGAATGTAAATTTATTATAAAGTGACATATGGACATAAGGAAGGAATCTGCCCCATGGCCAATACTGCCAAGAACAGGGTCAGATGAGGAAAAGCAATACAGGCAAATTTCAAAGAAACTAGCACTTCACCTGGGACCTGCTTTAAAAAAAGATGTATATCATCTAGCATTGCTTAGCCATAATCCTTTAGCTGTGAGAGTTTATTACTACCTCCTCCGGTGCCCTATTTGTTCTGTGGATCTTTTCTTTCTCTCTGTACCTTTCAGCTTTAATTCACCAGATCATTTCTCACTTTGAGTCTTGTGGGTCTCTAAAAGCACACCACCCTAGAAAAAAAGAGTCAAATAGTCAGCCCCATGGTCATCTGATATAAGGTCCCCTACTCAACAAAACTCTAGTACCAAACCCCTTCATAAAAGAGGGTTCTGAGTCCAAACCTCTCCTACTGAAGCCAAGAGGGTAAAGTCACATAAAGGAGTTCTCAGAATGGCTCTGTGGACTGTGAGTTCCCTGGGAAGGACTGGCAGACACTCAATGCACAATTAATCAGTCTCTAGTCCACCCACTAAGGAAAGAACTGAAGCATATTTTAAATGGAATTTTCAATATAATATTTTTCCAAAGTACTGAATTACATTTTAACAAAATGTTTTCATTAATTTTCAGAGAATACATAAATATCTTCATATTTTTATAATCATGAGTCCTGCAGGACCTAACCTGCGCCAAAATTGTAGAGCATACCCTTCTATGATTAGCTCCTGCACAATGGATTGGTACCATAAGTGGCCAGAAGAAGCTCTCCTTCTTGTAGCCAACTCTTTCTTAATGGAAAAGGTGGATTTAGAGAACAAAGAGGTAAATATCTAAAGCAAGTGAAGGTTTCATTTTATTACTAGCATCTGCTAGCATTATATCTCTGAATAGCAATGAATCCTAGATAGGCAAAAATAGGCAACTTCTAAGGCAAATTATAAAATGGGTCAATTGTTCATCTTGACTCCTCATCAGTTCCTGATCTTTTTTGCCCCCTTACCCACCCTATTTCAATTACGCTCAGATTCTGCACTGCCTGGGTGTCTTCACTATTCTACCCCCCCATGGTAAACAGAGATTTCCATGAAGGAAAACCACCTGCATTTTGCATAGCAGATCCTGTGGTAAGGATTCTGCAGCCTTCGAGTATGCCTTGTAAATTGCTCAGCTTGACTATAACAGCAAAATTATAAAAAAAATGAGAACAAAAACCACAACATACAATTAGCTCCAAATTTATGAGCCATAAGTAAGAATCTATTCTAGAGTGATTAAAGACCTCATATAACCCAAATGATAGAAAGGGGGAAAAGAGTGCTGACAAAAGAAGATGTCAATGCCTGGAGCCTGAAACTCAAGGCAGGACTTAGAAACGGACTGTATTCTTGCTTGTCCAAGTGTCCAAAGATGGCAAAACCCAAGAAGAATAGAGGCAAGTGGAACTAGAAAGAAAATGCATCTGGGTTAAAAGTGACCGGTATTATCTGGGATTGGTGGAGTGGAGATGGATAGTAAGGACTCAATTATGTCTAAACCTAAATTCTCTCCCAATGTAAGCAAATGGGATGCCATTTCTATTCTGGTTTTTACCCACCTATGCATCCTTTGGTCCCTCACATTTTTGTAGCTCTGTTTTACTCAAGGAAACTTCCTTGAGTATCTTGCTGCTGATAACCATTTAAGAAAGGAATTGAAAGATGAAAAAAGCACCATAATCCCTGGCCACTGATGCTGGTGCCCTAAGTCCTTGCTGTAGCAAAAATAAGGGTGAAGCCTAAGAGAATGAGTCTATATGCCGTTAATCTTTAGTTATATGATTTCCTCTTCTTACCTCTCCCACTATCCCAATTATTAAAGTTTATAAGTTCATGGTCCCATTTAGCCAGGATCTTTCTCTACATCTCCACATCTCAGAAATGATAAACTATTTCTAGTTATTCACAGTGTTCAGTTTTCTTTTATTTATGTAAATCCATATTGCTCTTTTTTAATCCTTAAAAAAAATTATTATTCTTCAGAACTTAAATGAAAATTTTGCCCCAACATGTGTTCAAATCCACAAAAGCATAAATGACTTGATCCCAAAATATTTTCAAGAAACTGGAAGGCATTATTATATCACTCCCAGAACCTACTTGCAGTTCATGGAAACATTTTTATACATTTTGAGGTCACAAAAAGAGGAAATGCAAATAAAGAGGTAAGACTTTGAGACCAAATAATAAACATGTATTTTATATTGGTGCTTTTATTTGTAAAATGTTGATCTCAATTTACCTTTTCCATGGGGGAAAAAGCTAAATATTGAAGAATTTTTAAGATCTATGGATGTTGTCAATAACTATTTATTGTCTCAAGACAGTGGTTTTCAAACATATTTTAAGAAACAAAAATTTACAGTTGTTGGTTAGCTCATGATGATAAATGAAAGATTACCTGGTATGAACTGCTGTAATGTTTGCATGCAACTTCATCTGACATTTACATTCTTTACTAGTCAGGCTTTCCTTAACTAACCCCATTGGAAGTGGTTCCCCTTTATTATATTGCATTTATAACATTTATTATCTGGAATTTTGAGAAAGCTATATAGAATTCCAGCTTCATATTGAGAATATGAAATATTACTTGACATGTAATATCAGTGAAATCAGTATTTATGTTCAAATTAATACTCAACAGAAAGTGTCTCAACCCAGCAAATTGCTTCAATTGAACCATAGAGGACCTATTTTATTTATGTATAAGTTGACAGTACTTGTCAGATTTTCATCTCAAAATTCAGTAATGCTGCCAAAATAAGTTGGAAAACCAATGCTTTGGCCCTTAGCATCAGATACTTTGTAGTACTAGAATATTAGCTGCATCAGATTTTTATTACTAGGGTTTTATAGCTACTTTCTTTTATACTGGCTCAAACTTAATGTTTTTAACAAAAATTAATATTTTAGCTTATAGTTCTACAGGCCAGAGGATCATTGGACTTGACTAGGTTTATATTTTATTGTCTCATAGACTCATGTCTAGGTATTGATCAGGCTGAATTTTTATCCAAAGCTCTAGATGAAATATGCTTCCAAGATTTTGAAAATTTTAAACTGTTCTAATTTATCTTCATAGATAATATTAATATTTTATTGGAAGCTGGGCTCAGAAGCGCACACTTGTAATCTAAGCAGCTTGGGGGGCTGAGAAAGGAGGATCAAGAGTTTAAAGCCAGCCTCAGCAAAAAACAAAAACAGAAAACAAAAAACTAGGTGCTAAGCAACTCAGTGAGATCCTGTCTCTAAGTAAAATACAAAATAGGGTTGAGGATGTGGCTCAGTGGTTGAGTGCCCCTGAGAGTTCAATCCCTAGTACCAAAACAAAACAAAAAAACTTCTTTTTTGTCTCACTAAATGTCCTGACTCAGGTTTAGCTTAGCCTCAGCCTCAATTTAAGTGAACTGGATGCAGGGCAATGTGATTTTTCATCACTACTCATCTTAAGTAGTGTCTGCCACAGGACTTTTCCTGTGTTGTTATTCAAAGCAAAGAGCTAAGAGTTAAATTAGTTGCAGTTAAACCTTGCCTTGTATGACCTCTGTGGAGACATGAAAGGTTGCCAAGCCCATCTGATACAACCATTTCTCTACAAGTTCATCCCCCAACCTGTCATGTGACCAGCTAACAATTATTTTTAAAATAAGCCACTTCATCAGATGCCCTAATTAATTGTACCAATAGGGGTTTGGACCAAATCCATTGTTTGTCTTAGGGAATACTGAATGAGAGTAGTCATGTCTGTGACTCCCTCTTGGAGAATAGAACACAGCCAGGCTCCCTATCTGGAGCCAAACCAGTTAAAAATGTTATTCATCCAGGTGCATCAAGAAGTACTGGCAATCATACATACTCTGCCTCGACTGGCCAAAAGGACGTGCAGGGCAATGTGATTTTTCATCACTATTGATGATAAAGAATTTAGATTAGTTTGCCTGTGACAGGAATCATAAGCCTGATGTTTTCATAAGAAGTTGTAGCTGTCTTTGGAGGACTGTAAGTTCAAAAGTGACTTTGGCAACTTAAGGAGAACCTGTCTCAAAATGAAAAATAAATAAAAAATAAAAAGGCCTGGTGATGTAGCTCAGTGATAGAGTACCCCTGGGCTCAACCCCCAGTACTGCAAAAGAAGGAGGAGGAGGGAAAGGAGGGGGGAAAGGAGGAAGAAAACGCAGAGGAGAGGCCTTGATAGTAGTATTTTGCTAATGTGGGTTTAAAGTCTAATTTTATTAAGTTTTTGTTAACAACATCACATAGGGCAGGACTAACGCAATACTAGAGCAGTTGAGATAGTCTGTAAATATAATGAGGTTACAGGAATCATATCAAAGTTCAGAAAGTTAATCTGGTTATATTGTTCAACTAGTCTGTCTACTAGAGCTGGCAGCTCCTGAGAAATTTCTGTTAGATTAAATTTTTTGTTGATCATCAGTTAAATTGGAAGTGATGGCAACAGCCTAAGTAAATTGGCAAGATGCTCTACAGACTAGAGGTAAGAGTGATAAATTGGCCCTCCTTCCATTCCTAACTCCTGTCATCTAAGGTATCCTCTCCTTACCTGCCAGGGTTGTTGCCATCCATTCACAGCCATGTAGTCAGTACATTTAAGTGTCACACTGGTCCTCAAAAAAGTTTTGTATTTTTGGATTAGGGATGTTCACATGTATTAAGAAGGTATAAGATAAAACAAAATATTAGTAAATATAATTTGATAGTATATAAAAGTAATTTTACATCATGGCCAAACCAGGGATGTAGGACTGGCTCAGTATTTGAAAGTCAATCAATATATTCAGCATATTAATAGACCTAGCAGAAAAATCACACAATCATATCAAATTGATGCAAAAAAAAGTGTTGCAATTACTTTCCCTTTTGTTAGTCTTCCTCATGTCTTATCCATACATGTGCCTGGATAGCTCAACAGTTTCTTCCCTGCATTCATCATACTATCCTAGAACATCTTCCACCAGGGCCACCCTAAGGGTTGTCACTTTATATTTGTGATGATTTATCATCAATATCCATAACAGGCCAATATCTAGCAAGTATGGCTAGGTGGTAGAAGAAATATGAGGCAATAGTTCCCCATTTTCCAACTCTTCCTTGCTACACACAAATTCCCTTACCCCAGTTTTCCAGGGGTAAACATGGGATAAGAAAAACTGGGAAGAGTTGATTATGTGGTTTGGGTCTCTTACAGCCAATTAGGACTTTTTCTCCACCCCAAACCTCATAATTAAATATTCTATTTAAATTGGAGGTGCCATTCTAGAGAATTATCATATTTAAAGCCTAAATGGCCTGTCAAGGATATGTTCCACTAGAAGATAAGTCTCAGATTTCCAGTTTTCTTTTTCAGATTTTCCCTAAAGTTCATTTTATTTTTAATGTACCCATTCTTTATCAAATTGAGGGACTTCCTCTTGATTCTTAGTTTTATAGGAGTTTTTATCATGATGAATGGATAAAAAATTGTGGATAATTGAAAATTACTCAGCCACAAAGACATTTTCCAGTAAATGGGTAGATCTGGAGACTAACGTGCTAAATGAAATAAGCCAATCCCAAAAAACCAAAGGTCAAATGTTTTCTCTGAAATGTGGGAGCTAAACCACAATAAAGGCAGGGAGGGAAGGAAAAGAAGTTCAGTAGATTAGACAAAGGGGAATGAAGGGACGGGATTGGGGGATAGGAATAGGAAAGACAGTAGAATGAATCTAACATAAGTTTCCTATGTATATATATATGAAAATAAGTGAATCCTATCATGATATATATCTACAAGAATGGGGTCCTAATCAGAATAAGATATATGTTCCATGCTTGTATAATTTTTGTCAAAATGGATTCTACTATATAGAATATACTATGTTTAAAGAAACAATTTTTAAAAAGAGTTATTTTCATGAATTTTGTCATGGTCAATATAATGATTTACTTTCAAATACTGAACTAGTCTTCCATCCCTGGAATTAACCCCACTTGGCCTTTGATATGCTATCAAATTATGTCACTAATATTTTGTTGTCTTACACCTTTTTAATACAGGTTGTTGAGCATCCCTAAACTTTGGATCCATCATCCCTAATCTAAAAATCCAAAATCCGAAACTTTTTGAGCACCAACATAATGCTGAAAAAGTTTCAGACTTTGCATTTTCAGGTAAGGGAGGCTCAACTGGAAAGGTCTATGGAAATATTCCAAAACTTGAAAAACTCCAAAATCTGAAACACTTCTGGGTCCAAGCACTTCAGACCCAAAAGACTCAGCCCAGGCTTTCTTTTTCCTTCAGGTGCCGTTTCCACATAGGTCAATCCAAGATCCTGGAAGCAACCACACTAGTTACAGAAATGCAGGAGGAGCTCTTGATTCTTGGCCCTAAAATCGAACAGAAAACAAAGGTATGTTTGATTTTAAATCTCTTAAATATTTTATAGTCTAACCTAGACCATTGTTTGAACACAAAGACTCAGGTACCTGGCAAAGGTGACTTAGAATTCTAACTGCACTATCATGCACCTGTGCAAACTTGAAGAAATTACTTTATCTCCTTTAGTTTCAATTTTCTTATTTGTAAAATGAGGGGGGTGAATTCCAGCAATAATAGCAAAATAGTAACTTGATAACATTTTAATAATTTAGTGTGAACATTAGGTATATAACTAACTATAGAAGATTATACAGAGAGATTCCTTAGTTAAATCCATATGAAATATGCTGTGGTGGCTTGTAGTCTATCAACTATTCTAAGTAGAAGTATTTCAGCTGACTTTGATAAATTTTATAATAACAAAATGAGCTATTTTAATTTCTCCTTTCAAAAGGGATCATGTTTCAAAATTTATTCTAAGAAAACTCATTTGGTTCATTAGGAAATAGAAGTTCTGATGGAAAAACTTGAGAAAGATTCACAAGTAGTTGAGAAAGTTCAGATACTTGTTAAACAGGATGAAGAAATTATGGCAGAAGAAGTAAGAATTGTGGAAGATTATGCTCAGGTAAAATTAAAATATAGACAATAAAAATATTTTAGATTTGAAAAATTATTTTCTAACCCCCAACGTAAACATCAGACCAACTATGAATGCTTTTTATTTTTATCCCAACAAATATTTATTGAGTCCCCACTACACACAGCACACTATTAAATGAAAATAGGGAGTACAAAGATGCCTGGTCCCTGTCCTTGACTAATCAGCACTCCTGGAGGCTCTGATGGTTTCAATGACAGAAAATCATTCAAGACCATCTCAAAAATATATAACTATAGTACACTAATAAAAATTAATTAACTAATTAATTAATTTTTAAAATACATTTGGCCTCCAAAAGGAACATCTGCAAGAAACAAAACAGTTCTAGGACCTAGGTTCTTGGTTTATATCACTTCTTTTGTTCACTGAATAGACCTATTTTTAAATTGGCTATTCCTAACTATACTGTCTGGTCAAAATACCAGCAGAACCCAGCGTGATTCATCAGATTTCCCAGTGCTTAACTCTGTTCCATCAATAGTCTCTTATGCTATGGAGAGTGGGACTTCTTTCATGTCTTTGTTGAATTTTATCAATTAAAATACACACACACACACACACACACACACCAGTATGTGTATAATTATTTATTTACAAATTACATATAAGTGCTACTGCCATTGGCTAATATCCCAAAGCACAATAAAAACTTAGGACAAGGTTTATTCTGAACCATAGTGAATATGAATATGTAGTTCAAGTAGTCCTCTTGGTAATTTCAAAATGTTTTGGTTGGCTTTTTTTCAGATCTGACTAGCTCACTATTGATTTTTCCCTTGTAAACTGGCTCAAGAAAAGTTCATGTCAGGAATAAGAAAAGCATCAACCTGGCTTTTTGTTGTTGTTGTTGTTTTGCTGTCATTCTGCTTCCATTTATCAGCATTACTTTCTTTTTTTTTTTTTTAAGAGAGAGAGAGAATTTTTTAATATTTATTTTTTAGTTTGCAGTGGACACAACATCTTTATTTGTATGTGGTGCTGAGGATAGAACCCAGCGCCTGCCAGGCAAACACGCTACCGCTTGAGCCACATCCCCAGCCAATCAGCATTACTTTCAATCCAAAGTTCCCTGTCAGAAATCTTTTCAAGCTACCTACCCATTTTTGATTGCCGCAGTCTGGCTGGGCACAAATCACAAGCCACTCAAGCAAGCAGGAACAAATTTTATTTCCGAACTCCACCAGCACACTCCATGCACTCTCCCTGGAAACCTCTCTCTAATGCCATCCACGTGGCTCCTCGTGGCACACACCACACCAACCGGAAATCCCTCCTCCGGACCTTTCCCAACCAACACGAACCCTCCAGGAATCCCCGGAGAACTCCAAAGTAGCGGGTTCCCGAGGCAGCAAGAGCCGCCCCATTGCCTGACAGTAAAGGTCAAATATACAATACAATCAATCCAGCATCACAGCAATTATATATAGCTTAACTCAAATCATCATCTCAATGGTTCACTGGCATCACCTTTCAAACATTCCCTCTGGCAAATGCCAGGCATCATTCTGACTCTGGCTCTCAACATTTGATAGTTTACAACTTTCCTCCAACTTTATAAACTCATTATTGACAATATCATGAACATTTTTAGAATAACTGTCAAACTTGGAATAAGGGGTAATGGCATTTCAAGATCATTTGTGAGTGATTAATTTTAAATACTGTTTAAAATGACATTTATTGACCAGTTTTCCATCAAGTCTTCTTTATATAAGTATTTCCTGACATTTATATTCTTTTCATTAATGTCAATATTTCTTATAAACTTAGCAAGAAATATAAATTTTCCTAACATGATCATATGAATTATTCTTCTTCATTACCTGGATTATTTAAAAACCCAGAGCCACTTATATCCTCATGCAATTTTCCTCTTAATAAATTATTACTTTTGGTATGATCTAAAATTTCTCATTATGATTTGCTACTCACTGTACTTATAATCTCTAAAATCTATAAGTGACTTATCAGTTAATTATTTTATTTCCTATTCCACAAGTTTGTAAATAGATAGATGATAGAATTTATATTCAAGAAAGCACTTTTTTCAATTATATTAGCAATCTATAATTTCTCACTTATTTCAATGAAGTTTTCTAAGTGGAACAATTATTACTTTAAAAACTATAAATTCTGATTTATTCTGTTTTTCACAATTCTCATTTAAGAAATCCATGGTAGATTTAGAATAGTAAACACTGCTTATCAAGTGTACTCATACTTCCATTTTGAGTATGTGTCAGTGAAAATCCAAACCTTGGCTTACAATTTTTTACATCTAATAAATGGAAGGATTTTCAACAGATCAACTCCTGACCAATACATAGCAAACCTTGTTTTCCCCCTGCTAACCACGTAATTTCTACTGCCAAGCACAACAGGACAAGTTTATATTGTAGTATGACTTCTTACCCTGCACATTAATGTCACATCACCAGGAAAGTTGGAACAGTGGACAACAGAAGTATTTCTGGAAGCCATTCCCATTCCAGATAACTTACAATAACTTTATTATACAGGGAATTCATGGTGAGCAGCAGAAATATAATTCCTAATTCAGCCCTTTAGCTAGATCCCAAAAATGTCCACAGCCATGAAAGGATAGTTGACAATGAGTGAGGCAAAGTAGAAAGAGAAATTGGTCCTAAGTGAGTATAGTGAAAAAGTCTTTTTTTAGCAAGTTTAACGAAAACATATGACCCTGAAAACGTACCAGCAGTGTTCCTGTCATGCACTTGGAAAGGATATGTAGAAGTAAAGAACTTTTTTATCTCCACAGTAATCCCCCCTTTAATTGAACCACTCCTCAAAAGGGCATTATTAATACTACACTGAGTCTAAAAACAGAAGGCAGAAGCCAATCAGTGTTTTTGCTTCTCAGTGATACTGTGTAGGGACTTCCTCAGAATCATGAAGAAGATAACATGGCACCTTCAGAATGCTCCAGTGCCCTGTCTTTCTGTGTGAGAACCCCACAACAATACTTTCTCATCAGGGATTATGAGATAATACACTACATTTAGGACTATGACCCATGTAAACATGTAAACAACAGTATAAGCATGTGTGCACAGACCTAAGTCATACAAGATGCATAACTTACAGGCATTATAAAAATGTCAGATTATATTTTCCAGGTTCAACACATAAATATCTATTATATATATATATATATATATATATATATATATATCTATATATA